CATCAGTTTGGAAATTGGTGGCCCACAGGTCCCAACTAAACTGCTGATGTGCTTTGTTTGCTATCATAGTGTCTTAATTTTTAAAAATTGGATGCTAATATTAAAAATGTGGAAGGCTGCATCTTAAAGTCCAGATTTCTGTTTTTTCTTAAAAATCTAGTCGATCTAGACACACTGAACACACTTTCCCCCATGGCAGTAATCAGCTGGAGTTAAGTGGTGGCTGGTCTCTTTAGATGAGGCATGTGAGTGCCAGTTTTCAGTCTCCAGGGCTTACCTTTATGCGGTCTGCCTAGCTGAACCCTACACTCACTTGTGTTTGCACCCCCTCATCTGCTGTGGTTTTGCCTGCCTCTTCTTCCACCTTTATAGAATCACATTTCCTGTGGCCTCACTATGCTCCAGCAACATTATTTTCAGTCCCTTGAATACCACACTTTTGCTACTTCAAGGTCTTCACACATGCCATTCCCTCTGCCAGGAGCTGGTCCACTTCACCCCATGCCCAACAGTCACATGCACCTGGATAATTCCTACTTTCCTTCTCAAACGGGCTTAGAGTTACTTTCTGAAAAAAATGTTCCTGACCCCCGTGGCTAGTTTAGTTCTCTCTACTGTACACTCGCATAGCACTCCATACGTTTCCTGCAAGTTGGTAAGTGCTGAGTGGGGTGGAGGTTAAAACTTTCAGAGGTAAAGTTAAGGTCCATTGAGATTAGGGTGTAAGACTAGGTCTTCTACATGGACAATGAAATGGCCTAGGATAATGGCAGGCATTTCAAACAATTTTGTCATTATCAGTTTCTGCCTGTCTCCCTCATTAGATTGGGAGCTCCCTGAGACCAGAAATAGTGCTTTATTCATTTTTGTATTTTAATTTCCAAAACAGTGATTAATACACATTAAAAATTAGATGGATGATACTGTCCAGAGAATAAGACAGGCCAAAGACTGAGAGAAAAATATTTGCAAAAAATATATCTGACCATATTGATGGATACAGGTCATTATACATTTGTCTAAACCCACAGAGTGTACAACTCAATGTAAACTACAGACTTTGGGTGAAGATGACATGTCAATGCAGGTTCATCAACTGTAACAAATGTCTCACTCTGGTAGGGGATGCTGATAATGGCGGAGGCTGAGCCAGTGTCAGGATAGGGGGTGTATGCAAACTCTCTGTACCATTCCTTCAATTATGCTGTGAACCTAAAACTGCTCTAAAAATATAAAGTCTGAAAAAAAAAAAAACATATCTGATACATGGCTGTTATCAAAAATACACACAGAACTCTTAAAATTCAACAATGAGAAAACAACCAACCTGATTTTAAAAATGGACTGAAGACCTTAACAGATACCTCATTGAAGAAGATACACCCATGGCAAATAATCATATAAAAAGAGGATATACATCACATGTAATTAGAGAAATGCAAATTAAAAGAACAGTGAGATACCACTACACACCTATTAAAATGGTCAAAATGCAAAACATTGACACCACCAAATTCTGGTGAAAATGTGGAGCAAAAGGAACTCAGATTCATTGCCAGTGAGAATGAAGAATGAAGCATAAATGTTAAATCCATTTCTTGCTTCCAAGAAATGATTTTAGAATTAAATCCTTTGCACATAATAAACAATCGAGACACTCTTGTCGAGTGAACGTGTAGATGTTGGGAAGGCAAGAGGTGAGAGAAAAAAGGATCGGCTTCTCCCACATTAGCTTTGGGAGAACTATATCTTGAAATTGTGCCTTGTACTTCCTTGGGCCCCCGCTGGTGACAAAACTATGAAGAGAACTCCATCTGACCACCAGCTTCAAGCCTGTTCTACAATCTCACAGTCTGGTGTTCTTAGCTTCTAAAGAAAAACAAAAGATGGACACAAATGAATTAAAATAAGAACATTCGATTTTTAAAAAACTTGCATAGCGGACCATGGAGAAAGAAGATTTATAATCATTAATGGGTTACAGATGTTGCTTTAAAACTATAGTCTATATAATTTAGTTTAATAGTTTTATTTTAGGAAAATTTAAATATTTTTTTATTATGTTATTTCTATTTAGAATATGGATATATAGTTATATAGAAAGAGTTCTATAAATAGTTCTACTCAGATATCTGGAATTAAAATGTAATGCTGTAGTAGCTGAATGAGTGTTGTGCTGGGTATCAGGCTACCAGGTTTCAATTTCATCTTTTCCATTGACTGGCTATGTGACCTTGGGACTATGTAACCCTGGGAGGACACAAGCTCTCTATTTCCTCATAGCCTACATTGTCTTTAAGGTTCCTTCAAGTTCTAAATGTTTTTTTATTCTAAAGCTTAATATAAAAAGTAAAAGGATATGTATTGGTCTGGTAGATGAGAAGTTGAGAATATGGGCTTTACTTATTCATTCAATGGAACGCTATACAGAAATGAAAAATAAATGAACTAGATCTACACATACAACATAAAATTGATCCCAGGAATATAAAGTTAAGGCAGAAAATATTATAAGAAAGATATTCACACAAATTTTTTAAATATACCAAATAGGTCTACATATTTTTATGGATATGTACACATGTAGTAAAAGTAAAAATATATAGATAGGTAAGATGAATATCAATTTCAGTAATTTGGTTATATGGGGCATGGAGAGGAATGAGATGGGCAGGAGCTTTTATAATTTCTATGATGTTTTAGTTTTCTAGAAATTTTTGAAACAAATACTTCAAAATGTTATTATTTGTTAAATTGCGGGTGGTAGGAACATAGGTATTTATGATTCTCTATACTTTCCAGCATTGTTAAATATTTTAAATTTTAAACATTGAAAGAATATATATTTTAAGAACAACCACCAGAAATTAGGGGGAAAAAATGTTATCTTCTCAATGAGGTCTACCCTGATACACCTCTTAAAACTGCAACTAATCTTATCACCCTTTATACTGCTGCTCCCCTCGCTCTGTTCTTTTAATTTTTACAATCATGCTTATCATTTCCTAACATACCACAAATTTATCATTTTTTATCTTTCTCCTGACTAAAATGTAAGCTCCATTAGGGCAAGCATCTCTGTAGGTATTGCTCACTGATGTATCTTAGGTGCTTAGAATAATGCCTGGCACAAAAGAGGTACCCTAGAAACACATTTTCAGTGAAGGTGCAGTATTAGAGCCTGACTGCCAGTGTTCAAATCTTGGTGCTACCACGTACTAGCCATGGGCAAGTTACTTAACCTCTCTCTAAGCTTCAGTTTCCTTATCTATAAAATGAGAATTGTAATAGTACCTAACTGATATGGTTGGAGTAACAATATGCAAAACCACTTTAGAATAGTGCCTGATATATTTTAAGTACTCAATACATATTAGTTCTCATTATTGTTATGTTATTATTGTCATTATTCATGGTTGTGGCTCTCAGCATGATTCCTGGGATTTAATGACCTTGAACCTGCAGGCCTGATGAGTAAGTCTGTGTGTCAGGGTACAAGGCAATTAACAATGACGGAGTATGAGAACAGGAATATCCTAGGAACCAACCAAAAGGGTTCAGGGCATGCCACCCCAAAATATGCCACTGGCATAGGATCATTTTGAACTGAAAGCAAATGAAAAGAAACAGACATAAGAAAAGCTCTCTGCCCTCCACATCCACCAGGACAACTATAGACTCATCAGTCCAGAGAAGGCACCAGAGGAATCTTACTAACAAACATCCACCTTTTTCCATTAGTTCCCCATGTATTTACTTCCTCACAGTTTGCCACGCCTAAAAACCTAAACCATTTTCCTTTGTCTTGTCATTTCTGTACAAATTCATTGTTCTTTTATGATGCTACATAAGCCCAAGGTCTAACCACTCCTTTGAGTTATTCACTACTATTTCTCTTGCATGTATGCATGATACATGTGTTAATAAACTTCATTTGTTTTTTTCTTGTTATGTCTTTTGTTAGTCTAATTCGCAGGGCCCCATCCAGAGAGTTTAGGAGGGTAGGGGGAAAAAGTTTTTCCTCCCCTATACAGTTTATTGTCTCATTAATAGAGTGTTCAGATATGAAAATGGTTGGTTCACCAGGCTAGAAAGAGGCCTATTTCATATTTGACAAAAAGTATTTTCTTGGGTTCTTTGCCTTGTTTTTTAAAGCACTGAGCATGCTAAAAGTTACACTTTTGAAGACAGACTAATTTCTTCCACCAGCAACTTTTCATTAAAAGGAATTCTCGAGTTATCATAATAATGCGGCACATACATGCATTACTCCATTTCATATATAATGCAAATTTATCTATTACCAAAGTTGACGAATTTCATTTTCTTTCCTCATCCTCGCCCACTTTTATTAAGAAAGGTATAAATGAGCAACCATTCAGAACCAGGAGGGTGAGGAGAAAAAAGGTGAAATTTATTCAAATGATCTCTTCAGCTGAAAAACAGCATCCTTTCCTCTATTGTTGTTTCTTAATCACATTTCTTCTCTAAATTTATCTATTACCAAAGTTGACTAATTTCATTTTCTTTCCTCATCCTCGCCCACTTTTATTAAGAAAGGTATAAATGAGCAACCATTCAGAACCAGGAGGGTGAGGAGAAAAAAGGTGAAATTTATTCAAATGATCTCTTCAGCTGAAAAACAGCATCCTTTCCTCTATTGTTGTTTCTTAATCACATTTCTTCTCTGATTAATAGAAATGCCTTAAAAAAAAAAAAAAAAGACTGCTTCTTAATTTCTTTTCTTTCCTCTGGCTAATACTCAGGGTTTTTTCTTTGTTCTCATAATTTTCACCCCTACTCCTACCACCCACATTGCAAAACATATCATACTTATAAAAATGTATTTATATAAGTATACATATATAACTTGTAATATTGAAATAATAACTATCATATTAGTTATCTGTTGGAAGAAATTACCACACAATGTAGTGGCTTGAAACAACAAACGTATTATCTCACAGATTTTGTAGGTCAGTAAACCAGACACAGCTTACCACTAGCTCTGTAGTAGGGCTGTCGATTGAGATTATGGTCATCTGACTGCTCAACTTGGGAGAATTAACTTTCTCTCTGTTCATCCAGCTGGCAGGATTGAGTTCCTCATTGGCTGTTGGCCAGAGCCTCCCTCAGTTCTGTGTGGGCCTCTCGGAAGAGTACCTTAAGACATGGCAGCTGGCTGCCCTAAGTGAGAGAGATCCAAATGAATCCACCACATTTTGTGAACTAATATTGATACTAACCCCCCATTACCCCTGCTGCATATATTCACTAGAAGTGAGTTACTCAATTCAGACTTCACTTGAGGATTACACAAAGATGTGAATACCAGGAGGCAGGGATCCTTAAAGGCCACCTACCATACCCAGGTGACCATTTTTAGAAATGTTTCAGTGAAGGCAGAACAGCAGTTATCCTTTTGACCTATTAATCATGCACTCCGCCATGTAACCCTTCCTCTGGCTGCTATGACACTTTGCTCCTAAAATGACAGCTAGTGCTATTAGCTTATTATTAAACTGATATTGAATGTTAGGCATAAAAAACTTAGTACAACGTAGCATCCCTCTTTAGATAAGTCTTTCACTAAATAGAAAGGGAGTATAACACAGTGGAATGCTATTTCTAATTTCCATGGAGAAAATTGAGGAAAGTATAATGTATGTATTATGTCTGCAGTGCAGAACCTTCCAGAAGAAAAATAAACTAGAAATGACACCATTCCTTTACCTTACTCCTAACAACTGATACAAGTGAAGTGATGCCAGAAGACTCTCTGGGTAATGTCTTTTTTTCCCAGCTATAATTTTCAGTGGGATATTATCATCCTGGGTTATGACGTCAACTATTTTTCACTTCGATTCTTAAACTTTGAAGCAATAAGGTTTATTGTCAAAATTAAAATAATAAAGTTGAGAATCATAAAGTGTAATCTACTCATTTTTTAAATGATGCATCGGAGTCACAGACAGGTTACAAATGACTTGCCTTTGCTTACTGCATTACGTGTGTAGTAGGCAGGACAGCAAGTCTTTAATTCCCAGCCCAGCCCTTTCCTTTGTGCTATCGTGGGCAGAGGTCTTTATTACATATATTGGTCCATCTTGTTAGAACGAGATTATAAAATTAGGTCTTTCCTTATTCTACATTCTAATTGTGTAAAAGGGGATATCTGTAATATCATGTGTGTGGTATTCAGTTGTATAACGTAGGGAAACATTTTAGAATGGGAAGAAATATTATATAAGCGTGAACTTTGGAATCAGGCAGTCCTGAGTGAAGGAGATTCTATTTAGCAGCCGTGTCATCCTGGGCACATTATTTAACTATTTTAAGCCTTAGTTCCTCCCTCTATTAAAAAAAAAGGAAAACGGGTTACCTACCGAATAATTGGGTGGATTAATGCCTGACACACACTAATAAACACGTGTCTATTTCTTTCCATTCATCCATTCAACCACTGTATTTAAAACTTGAATTATCTTTAATAGAAATCATAAAACGGGGTATGGAATCCTGTATTTGGACTGTTAAGAGTTGGTATACTGCTTGATAAATAAAACTGCAGTCTGATTTTTTCCTCCGAAATATTGTTCTTTTCACTCTAGTTTAATCCTATACATGCCTGCATCAGCACACAGGTTTTTCTCCCTCTTCCTAGAAAGCATGTGTAGGAGAAGAAAAACTTTTCCTCTACCCTCTTAGGTTCTTTCAGTGGGATTGTGAGAGTGAAACTAACGAAAGACAGATTAACAAGAGAAAAGGTGTACAATTTTTATTAATATTTATGTGCAGAGGAGTTCACAGAAAAGTGAACAAAGAGGCAGTTAGGCTTGGGGCTTACATACCATTTCAATAAAGGGGGCTTGAGTTTTAAGGAATGACAAATTGTGGGAAAGCGACTAGGATATATATGGGGGAACCAATGGAAGATAAGGGTTATTTTAGTAAGATCTGTTTATGCAAACCCATCTGGGTGTTGACACTCCATCTTCAGTGACAAGTCTCTCCTCTTCTTTATACGAAGAGTGGGGGTGTGGGATGGACACCCTCACAAAGGGAAGTTCATGCCCAGCTTTTAGGCAGATAAAGGGGAGTTCTGGAGAATGCTTCCTGCATCTTGTTGATTCTCAGTTCTATTAGGTCAATGTAATCTTTACTATGAAGTGGCGTATTTTGGGGTGGCATATCCTGATCCCCTTTAGCATCATTTATAGAATAAAAATAGAAAAAGAAGTAGATGAGGTTAAAAACCAATATTAAGTTCAGTTTTGGATTCTTCAGGTTTGAGGTTAAAAACCAATATTAAGTTCAGTTTTGGATTCTTTAGGTTTGAAGTGTATGTGGATTAATCATTACAGATGTCCCACAGCAAAGACTTAGCAATATAGGTCAGAAATTAAAAAATTAAGACCAGTCAGATGACATAGGATTAGCTTCCTTACCACTTATTCATTATTAGTTACCCCCAAAGAATACTGAGAAGGTTATTCTGCTGGACAAATCGAAGTGAAACCAGAATTAGAGATATTTACAAACCTTCATCATCATTGGTTACAATTGCTGAGAACACTCTTCATTTTTTTCTCTTTTCAGTCTTATTATCATTGACAAATAAGATATTTAATCAACAAATACATTGCAAGCAGTGATTTGACTTTCTCTTTTTAACCTTCATTTTAAAGTTTGTTGTCTTAGCACAATTTGTAACGCTGGAGTAAAAGGTTTCAGATGGACTGGTTTTATACCGGTGTTGAGGCAGAGAAAGCGCTGTTGAAGCACCATTTATTCAAACTGCAAAACCATTTAGATTGCTTATTGTTTCCAAAATGATTTAGTAAAAGCTAACACAGAACATATACTCTGAACTGTGCTAAGTGCTTTTATTTGAATCACTTCCTTTATTTTTCACAAAACCCTATGAAAAACTACTACATTATTATCACCATTTTAAAGAAAGAGCTGTGACCTAAACTGGTTAAAGAATTAGCCCAAGTTCTAGTTGGTAAATGTCGGAACTAGTCTGACTTTAGAGATGCATATTCCTCCGTTTCCATTGTGGCTTCTAAATCAGTTCTCTTCCATCCTCTTTTAAAAGCCTTGGTTCTTCTGGACTCGTTCCCTCTTGTCTGTACCCCTGCTACTGCAGCTCTTCAGAACCACTTTCTGATGTCCTCATCTGTCTTCTTTAATTCAGAAGTTTTTGGCTCTTTTTATCACTGGTCAGTTTTCTTTTCATCCTCTACCCCATCAATCCGTTCACCCCTACACCCACATACATATCTCATGTACCTTAACTTTCCTACGTGCCCAGTTTAGAGTCCATGATCCTTCATTATAATCATTCTCTTGCAAACACCTCCAACTCCTTTACTCTTATCTTTCTCCGGCAATACTTTCATGAGGAAAAAAAAAAAATGCCACAACTTTGATTAAACTTAACTGCCCATCTCTTCTGGAGAAATTGGCATGAGTAGGCCAGATGGTTTTACTTACAATTTATGACCACAAACCTCAAGTGGCTTCCAGCATGACCTGTCAATCCTCACTATGCATCTCCATTGTTTTTCACTCTTCAAGGTGTTTTCTTTCATATTTCTCCATTTTTTCAAACCTCTCACACTCTCCTTCATCTCTTAGTTTCTGACCTTGTCCCCAATTTTATTGAGAAAATAGGACTGATCAAGGAGGAAATCCTTTAGAGTTTCTCCATTCCATCTCTCCAAGCCTCAAGCCTGTCTATACATGCATCCATCTTTGTATTTTCTCTTACTATTATGTAGAAATGCCCCTGCTTCTCTCA